AAGAAAATGTTTAGTGCGCGCGTGTGTTGGTGCGCGCACGTGCGCGCGCGTGTGCATGTGCGTGTTCTAGGGCATTTGGACGTTGAGGGTAAGACACAAATTTTAAAGATTGGTCAGGAAAGGAGTGGCTTTCTTTTTTCTACTTAATTCTCTTTTAGCTTACCACACCAGATGTAACAAACATTAAGGATACCCATGTTTAGGATAAAAAATTATGAACTCTTAAGTATATAGAAACTTGTAATTCTGTCTTTTCCTCTTGAGTTCACTGTGTCAAATTATTTTATTCCTAATCTGGAATGTCAGATTTCACTATCTTGTGAGGAATTTTTATGAGTCAGAGTCCTTTATTAGTGCATGTGTTCAAGTGAAAATCGTGTTCCCTGATTCATAAGCATGTGGAGGCTGCCTGGAATTCCAGTGAGGAGGAGGAGAGTGTCTTCCTGTTAGGGGACCCGGGCTTTGCTCCCGGAAACTCTCCGGTTAAAGCCATGGCCCCAGGCTGCTTACGTTGGCATCTGGATGTAAATTTCCCATTACGTAAACCTGAAAGGGGCTTATTTTTCTCCACGGAATTATGGTCATAAGAGATCCCTCAATGTAGATATTGGGGCTGGATAATAATTACGATTTCTCATGAAAGTATAAAAAAGTTGTTAATAAACCCGAGTTCGTAGTAAATCCTATTTTAGCCTTGATCACACTGCATTATAATTTCTTGCTGAATTGTGCCATGCTTACTCTGTCTTCCTTGCCCGGTGGCCTGGTGCTGCGTGTGGAAAGCAGAGGCCCAGCGGATACTTGTTGACTCAGTGGAGGAGTTAACAGCTGTGCGCCACTTGAGATTTGGGTTTTGGCCGTGATTCAGCCGCCGATGCTCGGGGCCGCGGCATTGGGAGGTCCTGTTTTTCAAAGTAGAGCTCATCAAAATGCTGTCCCACACCTCTCCTCAGTCCTCTCTGTTTCTGACTTCACCAACCGGGTGACCTTGGGGCAATGACTTCTGGAAGACTTGACTTCCTTATCTGAAACAAGAATCAAGATGACATCTGCTTCACGAAGATGTGAATTTTCCACGAGATCATTTAGATTGAAGGGGGCGGGGGTGCGCGCATATACGCTTCCTCCTTCAGGCTGAGCCGTGGGCTAAATTTAGTAACCAGACTTTTAATAGGGACACTTGTTGAGGTCCTGCGGTCTGATCTATATAACCAGCTGCATGAACACGCAACGGGAGCAGGGCAGCTTCACAGCAGTGCATCTAAAAAGAGTGAGGATCTTGCCCCCGGCAAGCTCACTGTGCATCAGTAATATGGTATGACTGCTATTTACCAACAACATTCAGCAATTATCGATGGGTTACCTACCGTGTAATGCGAGTTTTAAATTCTGTTACTAGAATATCCAAAAGAGAACGTCCCCAAGTGGGTTCTGCAGGGAGAAAAGGCTGGTCTAGGGAATAGCGGGTTTGATGATTGAACATCTGTTGCAGAATCGCTTGGGCCTTGAGTTATTGTGCACCCTGAATCCCCAAGAGGGGGATCGAGTGGACAGCGCCTCGGTGAGAGATGCAGCCGGGCTGCTGGCGGTTCTGCTTGCTTCTGGGCCCATCAGACTGTACCTGGACCATTCCGCCAGGTTGGGCACCGCTCTCTGTCAGGTGTCGACTGCTGGGCCAGTGTCCAGAGGAGAGCAGCCAGGAAGGGGAGGGAAGTGGAGCCGATACCATGGGAAGGGCACCCAAAGGAAGTGGGGTGTTTTATTCCGGGGGTGCAGGGGAAGGTTAGGTGGCGCAGAGGTGAGGGTGGAGGGAGACCGAATGCCTGCCCTCCAGCATCTGCAGCGTGCGGATGGAATCTGACAGTTCCGTCGAGGGACAGAATGAGAACCAGTAGGTCAGAGTGACTGGAAAACGTTTTGGACCCAACCCAAAGTAGAATTTTCTTTGAAGATGGCTGTATTTTACATCCTGACTCCGGGTTCTTAGAAGGCGTAGTTTTGGGTGATGTGAAAGCATGAGATAGTGTTGGAAGGTGTGCTTTAAGATCTCATCCAGCCCCCAGTCTATGAATTTGTGATTATTTGCTTTTGTTTTGCAAAATTTGGTTCCTCGGCCTTTTATTTTTTTAGCATTGTGCAAATTCCTGTGTATGATTAGGAAAAACATTAATAATATGTGGTTTATGTAGATTTGTTGAATGACAAGACTAACACAAGGCAATTGTTAGCCACTAAGACAAAATATAAATAAATGGCAGAGTTTTGATAATCTGTAATGGCACCACAGAAATTTGAGAAGAGGAAGACTGGAAAGTATGTGAACTGGGGTTTGGAGGATTAATAAGATTGCGTGGCGGGAGGGAGAGCAGGAGCTCAGCGGTGAAGGCGAGAGACGTGGAAAGCTTTTGAGCAGCAGCAGTGGGGGTAAATCTGTGATTAGGAAAGATCCGTCTGTCAGCTCGTGTAGGAGACACAGCATCTCCTTAAGAGCAATCACTTAAGCTACGTGAGTGCTTGAAACCTTTCGGGGGAAGTTGTGGCTAGAACACGAGTGTGCGAGGTTTTAAAGCTTAGTGGTTGGAGCACAGATCCACCTGGTTCAAATGCATCCCTCAGTTGACTTTGGTAAAGCTCCATGGAGAAACGGAAGCCCAGAAGTTGACTGCAAACTGGATAGAATTATTTGCCTTTTAGGATATATGTAAGGAGTAAATGAGATAAAGAATTGTGTAGTTCGGTGCTCAATAAATGTTACTTAGTATTATTGATTGTGTAGCTGAAGTTCCCTAGGGCAGTGGTTCTGGAGAAGTCCACAGACCAGCCCTATTGCTGTCGCCTGTGAGCTTGTTACACAGGCAAATTCATCGGCCCCCCTCAGACACACCGGGCCAGTCAACGCTGTCCAGGTGACAGGCAGGGAAACGTTTGAGAACTGCCCTAGAGGAATCCTACGGGTGGGATTCAGGAACTAAAGAAAGGGAGGGTATTTAAAAGAGGGGCTGACAACAGTGTCCTTGGCAGTGGAGGAGACAAACACAGAGAAGGCTGGAACTGGGGAGAAGGGAGGTGGCATGTTCTTGGCAGCGCCCGCCTGACTGCTTCACACAGTGTCCAGTCAATGTTGCCCTTCTGGTGTTGAGGACAGCTGGTTTAGTGGTACGTTGGGGATGGAAGGAAGATTCCAGGGCTGATTATATACTATTGAGCCAAATTAGAAAAAATACCTCAGAGCCACATCAGAAATTTGACGCTGGATGAAGTTTAAATCTTAGGGTTAATGGAAGTTTGTGGGCCCCCCACCTGGTGTGATTGGGCCCTGGGCCACCTGCTATAAGCAGAAAATGAGATGGAACTTGCTTTCAGAGGCTTCACAGAATTGCACTTTTTTGAGGATTTGAAGCTGTCTTTTTCCATAACTTTTTCTAGCCGTAGAGAATAAACACTCTGTCTGATCTGTTCTCTCCTGATGCCAGAAGGTGAGCGTGTCTGTCTTGCAGTTGGTGCGAGGCCCAATTTGAAGCTCCCTCATTTCTGAAAGCGTTCTGAACGCTGCCTTCTTTTGTTTGCTGTTTTATGGCTCAGGATATACCTGAGAGATGGTTTGAAATCTTTCAAGAGATTTTATGTCCCTGTTTAACGTGGGCCACCTGGAGTTTTCGCATTGAGTGTTGTACCAGTTGGTTTGTCCCCATCCACACCGCTGTCACCAGTACACACACCAAACACAATAGCTTGAAATAAATTGACTTGTAAGCTTCATCCATTTAGTCGTTACCTACTGCCCATTATGTGCAGGACACTGTGATGATGATGATGAAGCAGCATCAACAAAGTGTGTCTTGTTGAAGAGCCAGGACAGCCTGAGGCCATGTATATTGAGTCTGGAGGCGCAGCCCACGGCCTTGGTTGAGTGCCTGCCTGGGGCCTGGCGGAGGTCAGCCAAGTGTTCTGATGGTCCCTAACACACACGAGAGTTTGGATTAGTAAATGTGCCGCCCCTCTCAGACATCCCCCTTTCACAGTGGGGAAGGGAAAGTGAGTAAATTAGAGTGTCTGCTTAAGAAGCTGTGTTGCTAAACCTTGCAGTTTCTTGAAAATAGATGGCATAGTATTTGAGATTGCAAGTGAAATACAGGAATTATATTCGTTTGTGTTTATGATCTCCTAGTTTTATATCGTAGAGAGACTTGAAGAAAACCCAAGTGGAGATCACTCTCCAAGGGTGGCGGCGATTGGATGGTTAATCTGAAAAGTCATCTGTTAAGAATACCTTTCTTGTTTTGTTTCTATTGAGATGTAATTGACATTTCACATTGGTTTCAGGTGTACAGCACAACGATTCGATATTCGTATATATTGTGAAGGGAATGTATTTTGACGCTTGGACCAATCTGTCTGCTGTTTTCCCCTAGCTTTGGACTTTGGGGCCGGGGTGGGTGGTTAGGAAGAATTGCTGACATTCCTTTGTTATCTTCTTTTTGTCTCCAAATCCCCAGAGAAAAGTAGCTGGAGCCTTAGTCCAGCGCTTTCCAAAGGTTGCTGAGACCAGAGCGAGATCTGAGAGTTTGCAGTAGGCAGAGCCGTCAGGGCTGTCTGCTCTCTGACTATATCGTACTGAGAAGGTGAACCTAACGAGAGCAAAGATCTTTTTAGAAATGTTGTGATTGATCTGTAAAGGTCTTTCTGATCGCCACAGCGCTAGACTACAGATTGGGTGTTTGAAGACCTGGGGGAATAGATTATTTTAAATTTATGGCTTTTCTAATACTGCCAATTATTGCAGTTCTCCTCTGAGTCCTGTAGCTACCCACGGGCATGCTGGTGTCCTGAAAACGTAGAACCCGGTATGGAAAATAGTCATGGCATTTATAGGGTTTTAGAGCTGAAAGAGCTTTTAAAAATAAAAAAAACAAACTCAAAGTTCTGTGCATTTTTGTTTGTTTTGTTTTAATGATTGCTTTCAATTCGCCTCTTTTTTCCGTCCCTTCTGTTTCCCGCAGTGAACACCTACCTCTTCATGATGCAAGCGCAAGGCATTCTGATCCGGGACAACATGAGAACGATAGGCGCTCAGGTGTATGAGCAGGTGGTTCGCAGTGCCTATGCCAAGAGGAATAGCAGCGTAAATGACTCAGGTATGTTTTACTAAAGAGGTGGTCTGATTAGAATGTTTCCTCCCGGGAGAGGTAAATTTGGTTCAAATAATTATTTTTGATGGGGAAAAAAGTGTATTGTAAATGAGGGGACGTTTGGCTGTGTCTTACCTTATCACTAAAAAAGAAAGGCTTGCAAAGTGAATCCTTGTTTGTTTTGCCTCCGTTTTCTCTCTTAATACTTTTCAGGGAGGGGGAGGTAAGGAATATATATCTTTCAAGACCCATTTTTCTGGTGTAGTTGCCCCTGTAGGCGATTAAGCGTATATTGGGACACCAGCAAAACAGGAGCGCCAAAAGCTGTTTCTGGAAATAGTTTGATATTTGATTTCAAAAAAATGTATCGTACAGCCAATGAGGAAAACAGAACTTAGTTGGACTTCCTTTTACTTCTTTTATGGCTTAACATAAAATTTTTTTTGTGAAATTGTTTTGTTGTCTTGTTTTTTGAGTTGCATGTGGCGGTGCTCACAGTGGCGGTGGCGGTGCATGGTATTTTCAAAGCTAGTCTGGCCCTGGTTGCCACACAGGACGAGTTGTTCCGACTCTGTTCTTACTGTTAGACTCTACTCGAATTTGTTCAGCCCAGTGGGACTTGTTTACCTTGTTGTTGGTGAATGTTTTAGCTGAAACTTACCAAATTTCCATGTTGTAATGATCGTGTAATCCAGGACAGTTTCTACAGATTATAGCTGTAAAAGCGACTCCTGGAGGAAGTTTAATAGGTCTCCTGGCCTGCCTCCAGTACCTGGTATGGTGTTCATCCTCTGGTTTAATTCTAGCAAGTGGCCGAGTTTGGTGGTTGGACTCATTCGGCTTTGAAGAAAGCTTTTCAAACTGTTCAGCTAAACATAGCAATGATGGATGCAAGAGTGAGCGTTTCTGCCTCAATCTTTGGAACTTTTGCCTGTGACTTTTGTTATCTATAAGCACTAATTATATGAAGAGGAAAAAAGAACACCGAGTTTAGATGGCTTGCCTAACATTGTAAGAACTTGTTCCTGAATCATGGTTTTGACTTTATTTTTATAAAAGACTGTATATGGCAAGTTCTTCACCTTTGAGAGAAAGTTGTCTTTTTTATGTCTCTCTTTTTAACTCTTCCAAAAATTGAACATAGGAACTATTTCCGGATGGTTAAGTGGGACTGTCGTGCGCCTTCTCCAGTCTGGCGCTGGATGGTTTTTATTAAAAAAATAGATTCTGAAATTTCATCTTGCTAAGCATTCATGGTTTGCCTTTTACTGAAGACTAATGTGCTTTCCTGTGGTTTCTTAGTGATTTCACTCAGGCATAGTATTATAAAATATGTATATTTTAAAAAATATTCTTTCCTCCAAATCAGTCCTCTCTTCTCCTCTGGAAGTTCTAAGATTGTCCGGAGCTCACTCTAGAATGTGAAATTGCTTTGCAAGCGTTGCAGATGAGAATTTCTCTGTGGTGCTTGGGATCTCAAAGAAATCATTGCCTCTCAAAGGGAAGTTACATCCTTAAAAGAATTGACCACATCCTAATTTATCAGTCTGTCCGCCTGGCCAGCTTAGCAGCAGCGAAGGAGCATCGTCAGCAAACTGATGAGCTTTGGGGCTTCCTTTCTTCTTGATTGCAGAGGGCAAGTGATCGACTTTTCAGAGCTTTTTAGCCAGATTGTCTTCTCAGGGGACAGACTGCCTGAGCTCTGACCCACACCTGGACAGGAGTCCCTGCAGTTCCCAAAGTCAGGGGAGAAGGCTGAGCACATTTCTCTTTCCTAATTCAGTGTGTGTAGTGTCAGGTTTTGCTCATGATCCCCACACATCTTGTCTCGTGTAACTCCAGTATGGCTCGGTCAGGTAGGCAGGATTGTACGTTATTTCCATTTTTCACATGTAGTGCAGATAATTTGGGGGGAGTTGGAGTGGCTTGGTCATGTGACTTGCCCTAAACCCTGCCCTAACCTGCTTCTGGTTGTGTAACGAAACCAGGGAGTCCTCTGCCGTCCGTTCCAGAGCTCTTGGCCCTGTATCACTCTGGATAAAGGAGCATTTGTGCTGTTGTGACCTTGATCCAGTCCAAGGGTTTGTGCCTCTCCGAGGCTGGATGAACTTCCGTCTGGGCATTGGGCGAGGTAGTCTGTTCTCCCTCAGAAGTCAGACGGGTACCAAGCAGGGCCCCCTCCCTGCTGCGCTGCTGGTTTTACAACACAGGATTTCACCGAATTGTTGGGATCTCACTAACCTGAGGGGGTGTTGTCCTTGAAAGCAGCACCGAGGTGAGTTTCACCCTTGGAAGGCATATCCAGGGACGAGTTACTATGACTTTGCGTGAGTTTATTCTCAAATTACCGTAGTCAGAAATCGTCCTTCCTAGCATCCCTCCGGTGGAGTAATCATCCGTTTTGTGTTTAATGTGTCTATATCCATTGCCCTCGGGGGCTGTGTTCCTATGTGGTAGACACTACTTGCGTTCTCGCGTGGAGTCCTCACAAGAACTCAATAAGGTAGCTCCTGTGTCCCCATTTCAGGGGTGAAGGGGTCAAGGCACACGGGACGTACGGGACTCGAGCAGTGGAGCTGGGCTTTGCTGACTGAGCCCAGTGCCTGTCCTCTGCATCCCAGCAGTGCCCTCGTGCCTCTGTCGTCTTTGTATCCCCAGTACCTGTGCGCTGCCCAGCACATAGGAAGCACTCAGTAAATGACTTTTGGGTGGGTGACGAGATTTAACAGGAAAACGCATTTTAAGTGTTGTGATGTAATTCTGAGATTCCCATCTTGTTTGGCTCCTATGTTATTGGCACATCCTTGGCAGGTAAGTATGAAAGAGGAAATATTTCATTGGGAGTGTATCCAGTAAAAACCCATTTTTACTCATTTCAAAGTAATTCTCTGCCTAGCACAGCTAAAGAGGGTGTTCTGGGCTTCAAACTGCTGAGATAGCCAGATGACCGCCACCTCTGACCCGGCCACTCCTGCCCGGAGCACTGTGGGCTCGATGAGAGCATCCTGGACTGAAGCAGTCCCTCAGCTCTGCCGCCCCACCCTGGAAATAGGGCCGTGGCACACCCTCACATTCAAAGGCCTTCATTAGGCCAAGTGTCACTAAAAAGCTTAGTGTGACATTTCAGTAATGCTAGCTTTCTTTATCCTTGAAAGCTAAAGTGGTGATTGTCTAATAAGAATGTTCTTTGGGGGATCAGGACCGTGAGCCTGGATATCAGCCTGAGGTAATAACCCTGGAGAAGCTTCTTGTTGTCACTGAAAGCCTTTGGTATAGGAAATTGTGAATCCTGCGAAACCTTGTGTGAGCAGTGAGGGGAAACACTCAAGAGAATACTGACATCAGAAGAGAATTCTCTGGGTTCTTCCAGTCCAGCCACTTAGTTTTATAGATGCAGGGAGTGGTTGAGTGGCCTGGCATTTCTCATTCTTAAATATGAATTTCCAGATGCCATTCTACCTAGTAACTTTTAACCGGAGGGAGATTTCTTACCTGTTTACACGCACGCACACGCACGTGCACACAAACCTCGCCACACTTATGGCCCAATCCCCTGCTAGTCACTTGCTCAGAAGAATGTTCAGTTGCTCACATCCTTCAAAACAGATCTGTGGCCGTGGGCAAGTAAAATGAATAAAGTCGTTGCCAGATTGATGTTCTTGACCCCCTTCTCTCTGCTGTTTAGATGCTCAGTCCGTAGCCGTCTTAGGTCTCCTGTCCCAGCAGGTAGTCATCCTTGAGCATGCCAGCTCTTGAAGAAGGCGAATTCTTTATATCTCCCGGATACTTGTCCCGATGCCATCTTTCTAGTGTATATAAATTTCCACGTTTTTCAAGCAGAGAGGAAATTGTTTGGTCTTTTCTCAGATGGAAGAGGGGGAAAGTGGTGGTTCTTTCTGGAATCTGTTGGCATTTTCCAGTCCCTGCTCAACTGGATTTGGGAAGTTAAGGGAGAAAGCAGATTTTTGCCACCCCCTGAGGAGTGGGATGGCCATGTCAACCTGAGGGCACATTGGAATCCCCCAGGGTGGAGGGGGCTTTAAAAAATACCGGTGCCTGCTCCCCACCCCCAGAGGTTCTTATGTAATTAGCCTGGGGTGCAGCCCGGGCATTAGAGAATTTTTCAAAGCTTCCTGGGTGATTCCAGCGTGCACACAAGCTTGCTGAGCCACCGTGTAAAGCAGAGTCGAACAAGCAGCCCTTGGAATCTGTGGCGAGGAGGGATGTCTGCTGTTTCCCCGTTTCATGCCTCTCAGAGCAGCTGCCTTCTTTGCCCTCTCCTTCCCTTGCTGGAAGAACATGTCCTGATTCGAAACAGATTAAAGTTAAAAAATAAAATCATGGGGGCTGGCCCCGTGGCCGAGTGGTTAAGTTCACGCGCTCCGCTGCAGGCGGCCCAGTGTTTCGTTGGTTCGAATCCTGGGCGCGGACATGGCACTGCTCATCAGACCACGCTGAGGCAGCGTCCCACATGCCACAACTAGAAGGACCCACAACGAAGAATACACAACTATGTACCGGGGGGCTTTGGGGAGAGAAAGGAGAAAAATAAAATCTTTAAAAAAATAAATAAATAAAATCGTGGCCATAGAAATACGGCATGCTGGTCTTTTCTTTCAGTGCTTCCCTCCTCCGCTTTAGCAGAGTGAGAGGTTGGTGTTTGGGTCCTTGAGGGGAGCATGCGGTGCCGTCGCCCGTTTCTAGGCTGCTGGAGGACAAAAGAACGGGGACCCCACAAAACCATGCGCAGTTCTGCCAGTGCGTGAGCAGTTAATTTCCTCTACCTCTTTTACTGCTTTAAAAAATTTCTACTGCTGCCGAGAAAGTAGGTTCTATTTAAATTTGTATGTAAAGAACTTCAAGTTAGAAATGAAGAGAGTAGGGGTTTTTTCACCCCCCCAAAAAAGGACAAGAGTTTAAGGGCCAGGCTGTGGCGGACGTCCACTCAGGAGTTGTGTACTTGAGGGTTTTTTTTTTTTAATGACATTATTAATTTAGTCATCAGAAGGAGAAAGTAAGTAGTGCTTTGTTTTGTCTTGTTTTGTTTTATGCTAGTTGCTACCAGGCTTATTCTTTCAGTGTTTGAAGGAAGTAGAAAGGACTTTATTTGCGTCATCAGACAGGCCCAGGAGTAGAGTCTAGGGTTGTTAGGGCGAGAGAGCGTCTTATCTCGCTCTCGCCTCTTGCTTCGGATTTTTTGTTCAGGTCTTGGTTCTGTCATTGCCCAGAATTGCTGTTCTCTTCTGTTTTTGTTGATTTGCTTATGAAAATGCTTATTATAATACCTCTGGGAATTTCTTTGCCTTCTAGGCAAATGTAATTGCTGTGATGCTCTCTCTGACCAGCTTCCCCCTCCACACACATGCACAGCAGAGCCTTACACATTTTCTAGTACACATGAAAACCGTTAATCTTTTTCTTAAAGAGAATTGTTTTTTTTGTACTAAATATGTGTATATAATTAAGCAAAATCAGAATCATTGAGAGAGTGATTAGTACTGGAGGTTCTTGCTGCAGCTCTGTGAAGCGTTAACGCCTTCAGAGAAGGGTCAGCCTAGCACACCTATCGTAGGACAGGTGCGCAAGTGTGAGCTGAGGGCTGGGGGCTCGTTTCTGTGTAAATGTGATTTTGCCAACAGGGTTCATGCTGACTTGGTTTACGTCTTTATATAAATGCAGACCTAGTGTTTTTCAGGAAAGCTCCAACCAAAAAGGACAGAAGTATTCTGTTCCTTTCCTCCCTGGTTAAGAGACTTCAAGTTCTCTTCGAGTTCCTTATGGAGCTTCGTCCTCTGAGCACTTGTGGAGAAGGCAGCCATGTGCCTGGACAAAAGGATTCACTGTGTTAGCCATTTGATTCTCGGAAACCCTCTCATAGTGCTTTTTAAAAAATACCTGAGTTGAAGATTCCAGAATTCCAGAGTGCAAGTGAATTTGAATAGGAAGTTTTAATTTTCATAGAATCAGCATGAATCCAGAAGGATTGGTGAGAGAAATTTTAGTACAGTGTAATGGAAAGATCGCTAACCCAGAGGTTAGCCGGATCTCTGTCATGCGCTGGGCAAGCCTCTTTATGAGTTGTGTACGTGGTGCCTCAGTGTCTTTATCTGTAAAAAACTAAGAGGTTGGAGAGCCCCCTTCTAGTCCACTGTTAGTCCCCCAGGGAAAAGGCACCTGCTTCACTCTCATAAGCCCACTAAAAGGACAGTAAAGAGGGGGGGTGTGTGATTAATGGCATAAAATCTTAAGAGTGAGGAGTACAAGAAAAGAGACCACAGCAAAAAATTGTGCGAAGCAGGAAAGCAGATGGACCAGTGATAAAGGACTTAACAGACCCAAGAAAACTGACTGCTAACGTGGCAGCAGGGAAAGCCAGCCACCGCCTGGTTATACTCCGAAATCCCTCAGACGCTCAGCAGTTAGCAGTAGACGTATTTTCGGAGGTAAGAATAAAGGTGGCAGCTAAGATAAAGGTTGGCTGAGAGCTCTTTAGAAAGTGATCAGATACCCAGGTCCCCTTCTCCGTCCTGGCGAAGGACTGGAGACGTGACAACCTCTGGAGGTGGTAAGACAGCGTCCCTCAACTTGGAGACACCTGGCACGGTTTAGGGTACCCCTCGCCGTGCTCTCCTCCTCAGTTCCAGGATGCTTGTAGCAAGGATCGTCCCATTCTGGCAGGAGATTAGAATAGACTTCTCTGGGGAATCTGGACCAAACCAGACCTCCAGCCAGAAGACCCCACGAGGAGGAACCTCAGGCCAGGCCCTTCTAGCGCGCTGACTAGCGCCCCACCTTTAATATTTTGAGGATTCCTGGAGCTTAGAACAAACAGGCAGCAGCACATCGGAAGAAACAGACTATGCTGGGAGAAGAAAACTTAAAACAACCGTCCATATCCTCAAGGGGAAGAGAGAAAGGATCGCAGACGTGAAGCAGGAGTGTACTGTAAGAAATAAATGTTCAGAAAATAAAAAGGACTCTTGAAAATTAAAAATATAAGAGCAGAAATGATAATTAAAAGAAGAGCTGAGTAAAATTGAGGCAAAGCTTTGAAAAGAGCAGAAAAATGGCAAGGTGGAAAGTCAGATAGAAAAGATGAGAAAATTAGAAGACCAGGAGGTGCAATATCTAAGTCATGTTTTCTCTTCTCCAGAAAGAAAGCGCAGAATACAGAAGGGAGGAGACCATCCCCACAGTAATTCCTCCTCCCCGCCCCTAAATTCCAGAACAGGTGGACGTGGATTTCCAGACTTAAAGGTTTGACCACCAAATGCTCCACACAGTGAGTGAAAATAGACCCCCAGCAAGGCACACTAGTGTGGAATTTCCTGAACCAGGAGAAAGTTCTGTACACTTCCAGAAAGAGATTACTGGTCAGAGCTCAGGAATTGGAATGTCTTCGGACTTACCAGGCACGGTGGAGTCTAGAAGGCAGTGAGAGAGCACCTTCACAATTTTAAAGGAAAATTATTTCCAGCCTAGAGTTCTGTAAACCCAGCCAACCTATGAATCCAGTGAGGAAGAAGAAAAATAATGAGATGTACAAGTTTCAGAATCACTTCCCATTCCTCCTCAGGAAGCTGAGGAGCGAGAAAAAGGCAGAAATTGAACTTAGAAAAAATGAGGGTCATTACTGTAGGGAGACAAAGGGACTCTCCAGGCCGCCAGGAAGGGCGATCAGGGGGTAGCGTCTGCACACCAGGCACAGAGGAAGCCAGGCCAGACTGGGGGGGTCAGGAGGCGCCGGCCCTTCTCTGGGAAGGTGAAGTTGAGAGAATACCTGAGGCCCGTAAACGTCTTGGAGGAGACGTAGTGGTAAAGGGCACGGTGTTGAGTTAGTCGTTATTCCATGTACAACTTGGCAAACAGAAAAACAAGGCAGTCAGTCCAGGAAAAGAAAAATTACGCAGGAGAAGAAAAGCAGTCATAACTTTCCCCATTTCTCAGTCGTGAGCAGTATTTATAGAATCGTCATAACATAAATACTTGAAGATTGTCCGAACCACCGTTATCGTATATGACTGTGGGGAGGCTGGAGGTCGGAAAGGTGTACGTGTGGTGCTGGTGGGGGAGGAAAGGGAGCGAAATCCTCACCCCATAGGGGGACATAAACAAGGTCACAGTAAGACCTAAAGCGGAACCATCCAGGTCAAGGTAAGACCTAAAGCAGAAGGATCAAGATGACGTGTATCGGCTGACGGAGGTAAATACTAAAATAGTGGGCTCACAGAAGTGAGGAGAGTTCCTTGAGAGAGTAAGACGTGGGGGGCGAGCTGTCTTTAAATGATGTTGTCGAGTGACTTGACTATGAACCGAGCGCGTGTAAAGCTGTGATACCAATAAGAATAGAAACACTGGGTAAAATGGCGTCACCTGGTTAACATTTTTGTTGATGGTTCAGCTCTTCACCTGCCGTGAAGAGCTGGCGCACCGTCCTGCTTCCCGAAAGCCGCTATCGAGGAGAAATACGTCTCGGTAGCACCTGAGACTGCGGAGTTGATCGCACGTCCCGGTCTGAGCCGCCTTTCTCTTGCCTCTCTAGATTATCCTCTGGACTTGAACCACAGTGAAACCTTCCTACAAACCACAACTTTCCTCCCTGAAGACTTCACCTACTTTGCAAACCATACCTGCCCCGAGAGGCTCCCTTCCATGAGTAAGTAGAGCCCTCGCTTACCGTCTCTGCTTTTAAATGGCTGGGTCTTTTTATTTGACTAAAACAAAAGGGAGAGTGTTGTTGATTCTCATGTCTCCCCTATAGAGGATGTAAACGTTTGCCTCCCTGCCCTTGGGAACAGGGTCAGGAACGTCACTTGTGTCCTTCCCCCTTCTGCAAGCTGGCCTGTGGGCCTGGTGCCTGTTTGTACCCCAGTTTCTACCCTTTCCTTTGCACACGCCACCTCCTTTGTAACCTGGGGTGTGTTAGGAGGTCCCGGAGAAAGTGGGCAGCCAGCTTTGTCTTAGCGTAAATCTCCCACTGATTATAACTTGTCTGATAGGACGGAAGTTATTTTCTTAATAAAGTGCTGGTTAAGATTCTTGGATCTTTTCTTTTTCTCTTTTCTTCTTTCTTGGAATCCTATGTGTCATCTAAAGCGATGACAACAAGCTGTCACACCTTTTCTGTACTTTTGAGCTGCTTAAACAGCTCTGCTCCTGCTTCAGCCAGAGGCGGAGAGTGTGCGGAGCCTGGAGTGGCCAGTGGGAGTCACGGGTAAATTAACTGGGACAGCGTGGCTCTGCTTGCCTCGAGCTCCCAGGGATGGCACCAAGCTCAGCCGTTTTCCTCCTTCCTCTCTGAGAAGTTCAGCTGCTCTTTTACTTCGTCTGAAGTTTTTTCTACACCCTTGGCTGAAGCAGAACTCTGAAGTCTAAATTTCTTGATCTGCTGCTTTGCCCAGCGATAGTGATGAACGGGATGCCGTCAGTTGGAAAGCACAGGAAGGGCCTCCTATCGCTCTTAAAAACATAGCTGAAAAAGCATTGAACTTCTCCAGAGAAAGAAACCCTGGATGGAGGGAAAAGAAACTATCGTTTTCTGGCCTCTTAATTCTTTCTTTCCGAATCTCTTTGCAGAGGGCCCAATAGACATTAACATGAGTGAGATTGGAATGGACTACGTTCATGAACTCTTCTCCAAAGACCCGACCCTCGAGCTCGGGGGCCACTGGAAGCCTTCTGATTGCATGCCTCGGTGGAAGGTAGGGTGTGGGGTCCGACTCGAAGTGCTGGGAAGCCCGCCTGGGACTTGCCGTCCTTCCCACGGGATTCACTCACTGTGACGTTTCGTAATTTGTGCCCCACGACCGATGCAGGGTCTTTGATGGAAACGTTTTCGCGGAATGAGTTTCCCTGAGGACTCTTCTGTAGTCCCAGAAATTTGCATCGTTCCGATGACTGAGCGGGACCTTTGTCTTCCTTCCAGGAATTTTGGCTAAGCGAGGGGGGAGAGTTGGTGGGTCTCTTGTGACACATTTGCAGAAGCCATCTTCACAAATTCAGTGCCTCCTGCCTCATTTGCCATTGTCACTGTGAGTTTAGTGGAATAAAAAGTGGAGTTATTTAACTTGACACTGAGAATTGTTTAGTGTTTTTCTGCAGGACTGTAGTCAGGAGACATCAAGACACTGGCTTAAGTCCGTTCTTTCAACAAGTGCTTATTAAAATGCTTGTTGTGTGCTGCCCTGTGAGCTGCAGCAGCGGTCAGAGCAGATCTGGAGCAGATGAGTGTTTCCAGCTCATCACCAGAGTATTAAATCAATTGATGACCAGCATTGAAAAAATAAATATATGTATGTTAAAGTGCATTGCACGTTGTAAGGGGAAGTGCTATTTTGTGAAGCATATTTTAGTTGTATGTTTATCTGTCTATGGATGTATTTGTGTCCCGGGTCACAGTGTAGAATGTGTGTCTTCCTCTGGCTTGTGGCCTAGAGTGAATTCATTCTGCAGGCCCGCCATGTAGGAGGGGCATCCAAGAACAAGGTCCGCTTACTTCCGAGGGGCGGCTTGCCACCAGGTCTTCCTTGAGAGGCGGCTGAGGACAAGGCAGCCTCCCAGCTCTCCCCCCGAGAGGTGGTCGCCGATGCTACAGGAGTCTCCTGCTACAAAGCAGTAGTTGAGACTAAGAGGGTGGCTTCCTTTGCTGTGACCCCTCCAGGTGGCGATCCTAATCCCCTTCCGGAACCGCCACGAGCACCTCCCGGTCCTGCTCAGACACCTGATCCCCATGCTTCAGCGCCAGCGCCTACGGTTCGCGTTCTACGTGATCGAGCAGGTGAGTGGTCCTTTCCTGGCTGTCCTTTCCCTTCTGTGACAGCAGTTCAGGTTAGGGTGCTTCAAGCTACTCCATCTTCAGGGTGCAGAGCTGGGAAAGCTGAAAGCTGACAACTGAGTCATCCTGGGGTGGGAAGGGGAGCAACAGGCAGTTCCTTGATCTTTTTCGAGACGTTGCTCAATATCGGCAGGTTTGAGTCTGGACGGAACTTTGCCCTTGAACAAAAGGCTTCTTGTGTGTGGTTTTGCTAGAGCTGCTTTGGGTGGCGTCTTCAGGCTCCAGACCCAGGAAATTCCCCTTGAGATATGGAGCCGCAAGGAGAAATGGCAGTGGTGTTCTTTCTTCCCTTTACGGGACTGGGTTCTCTTCTGAAGGCTGTTGTGTGGCTGAATGTCTGCCATTAGAACAGCCTTGGGAGAGGAGCTGGGGTTTGTCGTTAGCACCCCTTTTATTTCTGAGGAAGTTGAGACCAGAGGTCAAGTGACTTGTGAGTCGGGGATGAGTAGTGCTGGCCCCGTCTCGCTTCTGGCCTGCCGTCCTTCCCAGGTTACCAGGCTCCCCTTCGGGCAGGACTGGGCAGCGGAGATTTTGCTTCCAGAGTCCTTTTAAAATACGGTTCTGCTGCTTGTAGGTGGGCACCCAGCCCTTTAACCGGGCCATGCTTTTCAATGTCGGTTTTCAAGAAGCCATGAAGGACTTGGACTGGGACTGCCTCGTTTTCCATGACGTGGATCATATCCCAGAAAGTGATCGTAACTATTACGGATGTGGACAGATGCCAAGGCACTTTGCAACTAAGTTGGATAAGTATATGTATCTGTGAGTATCATTTCCTCTGAACTAAGGAGGTTAGATCTGCAAGGATGGCGAGAGATGCAAAGATGGCAAGATCCATTTAGCTGCGACCCAAATGTCCATCACCTGATGAATGGATAAACAAAATGTGGTCTCTCCATACGGTGGAATACTATTTGGCAATGAAAAGGAATGAAGTAGTGATACACGCAGTGACATGGATGCCCCTTGAAAACATCATGCCAAGTGAAAGAAACTAGTTACAAAAGACCACATAGTATATGATTCCATTGATATGGAATGTCCAGAAGATGCGAACCTGTAGGGATAGAAGGGAGAAGAGTGGTTATGCGGGTTTGAGAGGAATAGGGGACGTGAGGACTAAGTGTTCATGGGCACAAGGCATCTTGTTGGCGTGATGAAACGTATTAAAATTGAGTCTGGTCACGATTGCACAACTCTGAATATACTAAAAATCGTTGAATTATACCCTTGAAGTGGGTGGCTTATACGGTATGTCAGTTATGTCTCAATAAAGCTGTTATAAAAAAAATCAATTAGAGAAAATTCAATTAGCTGCTCAGGTTGATGCATCTCAGCGTGAAGAAACCATTTCAGACGGTTCGGGGAGTAGCTCAGAGAGTGTTGTTTGACTCAAGACTTAGTTCTCCTGGGAGACGGCCTGTTCTGAAGAAAAGCCACCCTTGCGTGCACAGATGGTTGATGCTGTCCGTCTCTTTTCAGGCTTCCTTACACGGAGTTCTTTGGCGGAGTGAGCGGCTTGACAGTGGAGCAGTTTCGGAAAATCAATGGCTTTCCTAATGCGTTCTGGGGTTGGGGCGGAGAAGATGACGACCTGTGGAACAGGTACCACCCTTCTTCCGGTGCCGTCTAGAAATGCTGCCTTGGCTCTGCAGACCAGCACTGTCTACTAGGAGTATGATGCAAGCCACATCTGTAATTTTAAATGTCCTGGTAGCCACATTTGAAAAGGTTAAAAAAAGAAAAAGATAAGATTAATTTTAATATATTGATAAAATATGTTTATCACAGTATATCCAAAATAATACCATTTCAACACGTAATCAATATAAAATGTTGAGAGTTACGTTTATTTTTTTTTTACTGAAACCTCCCCAAACCAGAGGTCAAATATTAGTGACCTGTGTACACAGATTTGTCCATGCCGTCAGATAAGGCTTGCATTATACAAGTTTGTGTGAACAATCCCGCGTTTGAGTAGTGTCAACCAATATTTTTACGGTGAGTAAAATAATAACCTAATGACGAACAAATGAGCAGAAGAATTTCCACCTTGTATCTGTGTACTTTCTAGCGTGGCTTTAAAAAAGGAAGTGTGTGTTGGTTGTTAATTACAAAGTAATATTTGCTGGCAAAAATTCAGATGGTACAAAAATGCATAAACCAAAGAGTATTAATCTTAATCCCCATCGCTATCCTATTTCATTCCTAGCCATTTGAACAAGCTGTTCCTTTCTGTTCGTATATAAACAACCCTGACACCTCCCTTCTCACCCTCCAACCACGTTCATGTAGAGAGAGCCACTTCAGTATTTTTCACAATTGCGTAGTATTCCTTTATGTAGAGCCACGACAATTTATTTTACTCTTCTTTTATTGATGAATATTGTTGTTTACGATTTTGAACATCCTTTGTTCATGTGTGAAAATATTTCTTTAGGCTACATTCAAAGTTGTGGAAATGCAGAGTAAAGAAGTAAATGCACTTTTAAATTTTGATAGTTAATGCCAAATTTTCCTCCGTAAGAGATTGCAAAATGATTCCAACCAATGGTGCATCAATGTGCCTGTTTTCTTACATCAGTGCCAACATTGGATATAAACCACCTTTTAAATCTTTGCCACATTTCAGCCCTTTAGTAGCCACATATGACTCATGGCTATTATATTGGACAAAACAGCTCCAGACAATTCTTTCTCAATCTGGTAGGTAAAAATGGCATCTCATCCTTTTAATTTGGGTTTCTTAGGAACCTAGTGAGAATGGATGGCTTTTCCATATGCTTAACTGGTTTGACTCGTCCTTGAATCTAGTTGAGCTCTCCTAGGACATAGTTCTCATCTCATGCTCTCCCCAGCTTGGTGGGGGGTCCCTCAGGAACTGGGGCTGGTTTTCCCCAGCACCGTGCACAGTTCCTCACACACAGTAGGCATTCCATATATATTTATCAAATGAGAGTGAGAACACATCTTCGTATAACAAAATGAAAGTATAATTTAGATTCCACTGAAGGATGTGGAAATAATACTCCCCCACAGTTTTAAAATACGAAAACAGGGCCGGCCTGGTGGCACAGCGGTTAAGTTCGCATGTTCCAATTCTCAGTGGCCTGGGGTTCACCGGTTTGGATCCTGGGTGCTGACATGGCACCACTTGGCACACCATGCTGTGGTAGGCATCCCATGTGTAAAGTAGAGGAAGATGGGCACGGATATTAGCTCAGGGCCGGTCTTCCTAGCAAAAAAGAGGAGGACTGGCAGTAGTTAGCTCAGGGCTGATCTTCCTTAAAAAAAAATTAAAATAAAATAAAAAATAAAATATGAAAACGACCAAAAATTTCACACAGGCATCTGAAGTCTACCTCCATGTATTAATTATTTCTTAGAGCCCCATCAAGTTTCCGGTAGACCCAGCTTGGGAAATCTTATCTTTATCATATTAAGGATAAATATCCTGAACACCCCCTCTAAATTCTGTTTCCCTCAGAGTGACTTTCATAAAGTGTGAAGTTTTCCATCTGGACCAGAGTGTGTCATGTGAATTAGTTCATCTCCGTGGTGATGGGGGAGGTGGGCGGAGACGTAGGTTTCACCTCAGTGGGGAAAACAGCTTGTGGCTCTGACTTGGCCACTTGCTCTCCAGGAGGCCGTGGGAGGGACGCCTGCTGCCCGTCAGCAAGGCGAGTATTTTCGAGATGTCCCAAACAAGCCAGCTGAGAGAGCACGCTCGCGCTCGTCTGCCGGGACCCTCGTGTTGTGCTTGTCACAGAATCCATGCCAAACCTCACACTCGAGAATTTTGAGTTTCTTTCTGAATTTCTTTTTCAGAACTCTTTTCTGTCGTAGACTTCTAAAACCAAGAACTTGTCCAGAGGGTGGGCAATTTGAGTGTTTAGATGCAGGAGAAGTTCGGTCGTTCCCCTTGGGGTTTGTCCCGCTCTGGATCGTTTCATCTGAAAGCGCTTCTCCTTGTCTTGGGCAGAGTGCAGAATGCAGGCTATTCTGTGAGCCGGCCGGAGGGCGACACGGGGAAGTACAAGTCCATTCCTCACCACCATCGAGGAGAAGTGCAGTTTCTTGGAAGGTTGGTGCAACGTCTTTATTCCTCTTACAGATACCCTTTATATTTTGCATTTCCAGATGCCCCAGAACATAGTACAGCCCCTCGTCTTACTCCCCACCCCGCTCCGAGGTCTGGTTCTGACAGCTGCTTCATAGTTCCTGTGTATATTTTAATTTAGCTGGGAGGCCAGCTTTGGGGGTGAAATCAGACAATTGGTGAAAAATTTGTTTGTAAGATCTTTTAAGAAAATGGCTCATTCTGCGTCTCAAGCTTGGTAGCCTCCCCTGTAGCCTGCCCGGAGCGGGAGGAAAACCCGCCCCGGAATGGTCGCCGCGGGGCTCACAGTGACGTGACGGAGCAGAGTTGGCACCCTTTCTGCTGGCTCCGCTTCTGGAGCGGGGTCCCTGAGCCTGTGTGGGTGTGGTGGCCGCTGCTTTGTCACCCTCTTTCCTTCCAGTAAGGAAATTGCAGAGTGGAGCGATCGGGGCGGGGCCGGGGCGCCGGCTCTTTGCGTCTTGAGTTAGCTGGGGGCGGACTGCTCCCCGGACGGCCCATTCCGAGCGTGGGAACTTGGTGCTGGTGGGGGATGAGGGCGCTGGCCACAGCCTCTCAACTTTCTCATCTGATGGCTTTTTAGCATCTCACCTCCCACTTCCCCACTGTGTGACCTTGGGCACTTACACTCATGTCTGACACAAGGTCATTGAACATCCTGAGCCTTGGTTTCCTCATCTGATTAAGAGGTGGATGCATTAAATGTAATAATGTGATAAATAAAGCACCCGGTGCAAAACAGGAGGTGTTTCTAGTAATAATAGCAACAGTGTTCATCACGGAGAAGCCGAACGCCAGCACTGGGTGGCGCAGGAGTGCGGCCCTGGGTTGTGTCCCGTCCCGGGGTCTGCCCTGCCCATCCTCCGTCGCGTCCTCCTGCTCAGCCCTCTGCTCTCTGCTCGCGCAGGTATGCTCTGCTGAGGAAGTCCCGAGAACGGCAACCGCTGGACGGCCTCAACAACTTGAACTACTTTGCAAACATCACGTACGACGCCTTGTACAAAAACATTACTGTCAACTTGACACCCGAGCTGGCTCAGGTGAGCGAGTACTGAGATGAGGAGAGGATCTGTCTGCTTGCCCGCCGCCGGGAGGGCAGCCTGCTGCGCTGTCCCGGGCTCCACACAGGGAGAGCGCAGAATGCAGCAGCTCGGGAGGACTGCAGGGTCGAGGAGCAGACGTGAGCGGAGTCCCCGCGCAGACCCGCGGGGCGAGGGAGCGAGCTGGCGCCGTCCTCATCAGGACTGGCTCTCTCGTTTCACAAGACGGACGGCCGTCCTGCTGCCCTCTCCCCCGTCTCCTGCCCCCACGTCCCCTCAGCCACGATCCCCAGAACCGAACGGTGACCTGCCGTGTCCTGCCGCGGAGCCTGCTTCTACGAACGGCCTTTGGAGCTTCTTGGCCTTCAGAGCACAGAGGGAGACCCACCCCGGGCAGCCGTGTCTTAGGAAGAACGAGGAAACTCCACACGCCATTCCTCCACGTCTCTGGTGTTCTCTTTGGTTTCATTTTTTTTAAAAACTTATCTGCTTCGGGTGGGGATCAAGGGTGGAGGGGAGGGGCTGGGGAGGCTAAACAGACATGTAACAGTCACTTCTTGAAGAAGTATAATTGTAAATAAGCCATGCGAAATGCCTTTTTTAAATTTAATTTTATAGCTGGCTCCAGTTCAAACTGAGGATTTGTACATTAGGTCACTTATTCGGTTGGCAGATGCGGGGACTCAGTTAAAATGCAGGGGAACATCTCGCCTCCCAGGTCGCCTTCGCTTCGGGAGGGAGTGGATTTAGGGCACGTCACGAAAAGAACGAAAGCGGCCAATCTCTGTCGCTTCTGCCCCTCCCCTCCCCCGTCCCCGAAAGTCCTGCTCCTGACTTTGCTCTGGGTCCTCTCGTCCGGAGGCTCGCTGCTCCCCCCGCTCGGAGCTTGCCCTGAATTCAGGGGCCCACTGTGCGCCCCTGCCCTCCCGGTTTTATTCCTTGTCCTTACGTCACAGAGAGGGTGGGTGTTGAGTTTTCCTCCTTCTTTCTTTCTTTCTCTCTCTTTTTTTTGCTCTTGTGGAACTTGGCCACACTTTCTGAAATCTGTGCCTAAATTACCAGCTAGCTTCACTGATTCCTCTGAATATTTCCCTTTCGGTTTCTGGAAAGATTCTTTGTCCACATTATTAACTAGTACATAGAAGTAAAGAGCCTTGACTTATGAAGAACTCAGCCAGGGGCAGGTGACACTTGCGTGCTGTGGGTCATTGGGCTCCAGATTAGACCAAATCAGAGCTTGAAAGTCAGGCCAACAAAGCTCAGGATGGAGAGCCCAAGTGCTCGCGCCCTGTGTGGTCTTTGAAGTCAGATTCTAAATTGCATTTGAGTCTGTGCCTCTGTTTTTCCCTGAGCCAGAACCCTCGATTCATAGCCCCAGTTGGCTTCTACAGAATTCTGAAAAATGCCAGTTTTTCCCTCCTTTTCCATAGAACATAGTTATACATGGTGATTAGGAGTACTTTATGAAGAGTACTTCATATTTTTTTCAATTGCCTTGTTTGCCTTCAACTTCCTTAATTTTCATGGTTTACATGGATGTGTGTGTGTCGGGGGTGTATTTGTGTATATACGTGTGGGTTTGTTTTTCTGTCGCATGTGTTGGTTCCATGGACATATGATCCCCACGTGCTGTGGGAGTGACTGGCCAGGCGTTGTTTCTTGTTCGTGTTTCTGTTCTTTTGAAGAATAGAGTGGTATTTAGAAAATAAATTGCATTGTGAAGCTCTTATCGGCTCATATGAGAGAGCAGGCCCTGCCCTTGAGAGTGCTGGTAAGTTGTATCATATGTTTTAAAAGAGCTCTGAGCATTTCATGCTTTAAACTACCTTCACGAGGGAACATTACACACACAAGTTCATTGGGGTTTTTTTTTGATGTGTGGTGCATAGCAATAAAGATTCCTTCCGCTTTTCTCCCCTGCCCCCCAGCCTCTGTGCTGGCCTGGCTGTCCCCGCCTTCTCGTTCTCCCCTCTTCTCCTCTCTCATCACTGAAGGCAGCGAGCTGCTTTCAGTGTGACACAACCATGATGTCGTTCGGAAGAATTTGCCAGGACAGACTGATTCTTGGTGAAGGATGACGTGTGTTCTCATGGCAGTGTTGTAAAATGATCTCGTTTGAAGCTTTTTCATTAACATGTTTACCACCAAGAACAAAATGTTGGCCAAGGCTGATGCCGGCTTTTAAAAAGATGCTGGTTAGAGGAGAGAGGGGGCCCTCTTCACGCTCGAAGGAGGGTCACTTCAGTGAGCTTGTGATCATTTGTAAGTTTAATAGTGTGAAGTCTTACTGCGCACTGTTACTCCTGTGTCCACCAAGTTGAGTATCGTGTAGGAAATGTAAAAAGATACAGCCGCCCGCTGTTACTGGTGTGAAATTCTCGTGTGCAAAAAAAAGACCAATAAGAACCAAATGTGACCTTGTGCATATTTTGGCAGCTGAAATTCTTTAAGGCTACTGATGGGTGACCCTGAATCAGCCCTGTCTTTGACAGCCGCGTGCCGGGAAAGGGTTTTCCTTTCACGTTGTTTTTCTTTGGGGGGGGCGGGGACTGTTTGCAAAAATAATCATTTTGACATTACGGGGACTCCTGCTAGAGCTCCTCCACCGCAGGCTTTGATAGCTAAGCAGCAGCCGCGTGTATCAACTGTGTCCACTCACTGTCAATGGTGGCATTGAGGGTAGCTAGCTTATTTCCATCACTACGTTTTTTTGAGCTTGCTCTTATGTTTTAAGAGGTGCCAGGGGTACATTTTTGCACTGAAATCTAAAGATGTTTTAAAAACACTTTTCACAAAAATAGTCCTTTGTCATTACATTATTTACTCATGTGTTTGTACATTTTTGTATGTTAATTTATGAATGATTTTTTCAGTAAAAAATACATATTCAAGAACCAAACCTTGGTGATCGTCTCTCTTTGTCTCGGACAGTTTGGCCCCTTGAGGCCTTTCCTTCCCCCTGGGAGTTCAGCTCCTGTGTGTCCTTCAGGCAGCTTGGCTGACCTCCGGATGCTCCTCAGGGAGATGCTGCCCGCGCGGCCCCTGCACCTGGACCATTCCGTGAAAGCTCAGCCCTTGTAGCAGAAGCTCTGAGTCCACCGTGTTGTCCGGGCGCCCTCCCGCACTTGGGTTTTTGTTCAAGAATTGGCCCAGGTGATGCCCGTCAAGTTGAATAGCTCCTCTGGGGAAGGGGAGGGGGAGGGTGCATGGAGCCTGGCTTCAGAAGGTCCTCTGGGACCCGTCCCGAGTTGCTGCTGTCTGCCTGGTCCTGCTTGGAGGTGGCAGTCCTAACTTCTCTTTGTTGGATAGTGACCACTCACGAATACTGAGTGTGGAGTTCTGTGCCCAGGTGCTAGGGACTGTGATGGTTAGCAGGGTCAGAGGTCTCATAAAGCTTACTGTCCTTTTCTCCCCCAACCCCCAGGCGGAGGGTATTACGACCAAGATAAGTGCTCTAGAGATACCCGTAGGCACAAGTACATGATGGGGAAGGTGTCGCCAGTGGGCAGTGGGTGAGCTGCAGGAACTGAAAGCCAGTGAGGCTGGAGCAGAGCGGGCAAGGGGGGGCAGCGGGCACTGTCAGGCTGGGGAGATGGACGGGGCCAGACCGTGTGGTGCAGGGCCTTGTGGGCCCAGGTAAGGAGTTTGGATTTTATCCTAAGAGCAATTGGTTCAAGAGTCTCCAGCAAGTAGGGCTGTGTGCGATGTGATTAGACAGTAATTTTAATAGATGGCTGTGGCTGCAGGGAGGGTGGGGGATTGTAGGGGAGCAAAAGAGAAGTAGGAGAGCCGGGTAAGTGAGTGCAAGTCATGTGGGGGCAACATGGAGGGGTGGAGATGGAAGGATACTGGCATGGAGGAGATGAGACAGAGGGATGCTGGCATGGAGGAGAGGAGATGGGAGGATGCCGAGAGGTAATACAGGACCTGGATATGCATTGCTGTTGGGATGGAGGAATCCACCAAGCTGCTGGTTTCCCTCCATGCATGGATCGCAAGGCCGTTTCCTGAGACAGGCACCGGCGCTGGGCCAGGTTGGTGAGGAAGGTCAGAAAATCAGTTGTGAATGTGTTGAGTTCTGGGGGCTGCAAGACCACCAAGCAGAAACAGCACATGGGCAGTTGTACATATTCGGTTTGGGACTCAAAGGAGGGACTGTGACCACGGACGGATTTGGGAGTCTCCGGGTGTAGGAGGTAAGTGAAGAACTGAGTGGATGAGATCGCCTAGGGTTGAGGAGAGCAGGAGCAGAGGGAGAGGGGAAGGTGGCCTGGGCCCAAGCCTTTAGGAACTTTGTTTAAAGACAGTTGAGAGGAAGAGGGTGAGTGAGCGAGGCAGGCGGGATGAGTGGTAGGAGGAGGCAGGAGTGGTCAGGAAAGTCAAGGGAAGATGGGATGCGCTGAATGTCACTGAAATGCACTGAAAGTCAAGGGGCTGGCAGACGCACTGCATATGCAGCGAAGAAGTGATAGAAGTTGAAGAGGGAACACTAAGGACAGCAGTGGAGAGGACGCTGGTCATGTGGCGGGAGCCATTCTGCTGAACGGGGTGGGGAGCGCACAGGAGTGGCTGAGAGAGGAAGGGAAGCGGCAGTGGGCACAGGCACGGCTTCACTTTCATGCGAAGGGGTAGAAAGAAGGCTGGAAGCTGGGGGAAGAGGGAGCCTCAGGGAGGGTTTTGATTGTCCAACAAGAGAAACCTGAATGTATTTTGGAACCGTAGGGAGATGCCCACCTGAGAAAGCAAGCTGAATATACAGAAGAGACAATCCAGCAGGAATGTTCCTGAACTAGTGGCAGGAGAGGAGACTCAAAAAAGAAAACAAAACTGGGTAGGAATCAGGCGCTCCTCGTATGCCATCTCTAGCTGGCAGACGGACCCCCTGTGAGGACCCGTGTTGCTGTTGAGAAGATCGTGGATCCGTTCCAGCAAGTCACCAGAACTGGAATTCAGCAGAATTGATTCCTGATACTACCACTTCCTTCCTTCTCAAAATTTTTTTAACTCGGGGGAAGTCCAGTCCAAAATAGTAGTTCCCATTTATTGAGGACTTGTCCTGTACCGGTCTGTGCCAATTAAGCATATTGTACACAGTTAGTCCTCAACTCTGCAAGGTAGATGTTGCTGCTTTTTCTAGAGCTGGGGTTTCTCGACCTCATCTCTTCACGTTTGGGGCTGGATAGTCCTTTGTACGGGGGTGGGGGTGGGGTTGCTGTCCTCTATGCACTGTCGGCTATTTAGCTGCACCCTGGGCCTCCACCCCATAGATGCCAGTAGCAGCACCCCCTCCTCCCCAGTTGTGACAGCCGAAAATGTCACCAGACATTGCCAGATGACCCTGGGGAGAGCCAAATCGCTCCACTTGGGAACCGTGGCTCCAGAGCTGGGGAACAGAAGCCACCGCTTGCCTGAGGTCACAAAGCTGGCACACTGAGCCAGCCAGGATCTGAATACCAGGTCCTTTTTACCCCCAGGTAAATGCTCTGAACCCCTAAGCTACTTCTCATCCAGCTGCTTCTTTGTGTATGTGCTCTTAATAGCTTCACAGACACAGTTCACAAACATTTTTATGTGAAAAGTAATACGTGAGTACATGCTTGCTGAAATAAAGTTCTAAATCTCTCTCCCTTTAATGTTGGCAGTTGGGCTGGTGTCTTTATCTATACCTGGATCTGTGTACCTGCCTAGATGTATAGGGAGACAAAGATGTGTACTTTTTTTAAAAGATTTTATTTTTTTCCTTTTTCTCCCCAGAACCCCCAATACATAGTTGTATATTCTTAGTTGTGGGTCCTTCCACTTGTGGCATGTGGGACGCCGCCTCAGCATGGCCTGATGAGTAGTGCCATGTCCGCACCCAGGATTCGAACGGACGAAACCCTGGGCCGCCTGCAGTGGAGCGCGCAAACTTAACCACTCGGCCACGGGGCTGGCCCCCAGAGACGTGTACTTTTAAAAGAATGTAAATTGTCTTGTAATTACTTTTGGCTTTTTATCTTAATATTTCTTGGAGACCTCTTCTCTGTGATTAAAGAGCTTCCAAAGTAAAGTTCAATGTCACCTCCTCTGAGAGGCGTTGCAGGAGCACGCAGCCTAAAATGCCACACCCCCCACTCTCCTTTATTTTGCGTCTCAAGATTTCTTCTTCTGAATCCTATATTTTTATTGGTTTTTTGTTCATTGACTGTCAACCCCGCTAAAATGTCATCCGCATGAAGGTAGAGACTATTTTGTTCTCTGGTCTATCCCCAGCACCAAGAACTGGTCCTGGCACATAGTAGGTGCTTAATAAATATTTATTGAGTGAACGAATGAACCTGTCTTACTCCTTTGCGTGGCTGCGTGTAGGAACCTCCTGTATGGATGGATGTAGTTTATTTAGCTGTTCCCCTCCTGATGGCCGTGGAGGTTGTGTCCAGTTGTCCACTATCACATTATATGCATCACTGAGCACAGCTGTGAGTAAATCCATGTGCACATAGGTAAGTGGGTCAACTTGAGAGAATCCAAGAAGTGAAATTCCAGGGCAAAGGTTTCACACATTTTAAATGATGGAACACACCAAATTGTCTTACAAAAAGACAGTATGAATTAACCCTTCTACAATCTATGTGTGACCATACCTTTTATATCTTTAATCCCCTGGAATTATTCTGTGTATGATGTGAAGGTAGCGGGGGGGGGGGGGGGGGGAGGGTCCAGATTTCTTTTTTCCTGAATGGACTGCTAATTGTCCCAACAGTATTTACTATAATTTATAATTTCCCCATTTATGTGAAATACCATGTCTCATACATTAAATTCTGCGCAAGATTCTTCTATTCCACTGAGCTATTCATCTCGTTCTGCTTTACATGCTTTATGTTTATATTCCTACGTCCCTACAGGATGTTTTCATAAGACAAGTGCCTCTCACTTGCCATATCCTCCTCCAACTTTTCAAACATAAGCTTTTCTAAAAGTGCAGTGAACAGACAGAGAAGTCCGTAAATCATAAGTGAACAGCTCTTTGAATTGTCAGAGTGAACGCGTCCCTATAACCTCAACATTGTTGATTATCAAGATTTACTTGGTTATTATGTATTTTCTTAATCCAGTGAAATTTAGATTTATTTTGTCCAAGTCTATTAAAAAATATATGTGGGATTATGATTGACTGGACACTGAAACACTCATCTGGGAGGACTTAGTATCTTTACAATACTAAGTCTTATCTGCAGAAGTACCACATTCTTTTGCTGAGAGAAATCTCGGACCACCCACTCCAGCCGTGACCAACTCATGACCTTGCAACCACCTTTTCACTCGTCAGTGGATCTACGACCAAAAATAGCATGAAAAAAGAAAAATCCCTAAATGATAGGCAAACCTATCTCACGGCGTCTTTCTGTTCTGTGATATTATTTTGCATTTAGTTCCATTAAGATAATTCTTTCAATAGAAACGTCAGTCATCTTGCCACCAACTAGAAATCTGGGCTCCAAGTTACTTCTCCTAGTGCGTTGATCTTAAGAACTAGGCTTTAAAAGTAAGAAGAGTACCTTGGGTTTACGTGTGATGCTTTGTAGTGAAGCTGCCATGATGAAACAGCCTCCGCTGACTGCCCGCTTACCGTGGGTCAAGTATCGTGCTGTGTAGTTCACTCTTCACAATGACCTCATGTGGAAAGTCTTGTCACCTCCCTTTTCCGCAAAAACAAGGATCGGAGAAATGTGACGTTAGCAAGGGCACCAGCTCCTAAGTGGGATTCAGAGCTTGCTGTGTCTGGCTCTTTCTACATCCACTGTCTTATCTCATTTAGTTCTTTACCTGTCAAATTGGAAAGGTTCAGCCTTTCATTCATTCTGCAAATATTTAAACACCTTGGGTCCTACCATATGCAAGTCCTGGACTCAGTACTCAGCACTGAACAGTGAGCAAAGCAGGGTCCTTGGTCTCCATTCTAGTTGGGAAAAAAGATGAACAAAGAAACAAGACCCACTTCATAGTATATATGATGTTAGGGAGTGACGGGTGCAGCAAAGATTTCAGTTCTAAACTCTTTTACCTCCAACAAGTGTTGAGAAGGATGTGGAGAAATTGGAACCCTTATGCACTGTTGGTGGGAATGTAAAATGGTGCAAATGCTATGGCAAACACTATTTCTTACCAAAAAATTTAAAATGATGTTACTGTGTGATCCGGCAACTCCACTTCTGGGTGGAAATATCCAAAAGAGCTCGAAGCAGAGTCTTGAAGAGAGATTTGTACACCCCTGTGTTCATAGCAGCATCATTGACGAGAGCCCAAAGGTGGGAGCAACCCGAGTGTCCATCAACAGATGAACGGATAAGTAAAATGTGGTGTATACACATGATGGAATATTATTTACCCTTCAAAAGGAAGGAACTCTGACACATGCCAGGACGTGAATGAACCTGGAGAACATTATGCTGAGGGAAATAAGCCAGTCACAAAAAGACAAATGCTGTATGATTCCGCTTAATGAGGTTTCCAGAATAGTCAAACTCACAGAGACAGAAAGTCGAATGGTGGTTGCCAGGAACTGAGGGGAGGGGAATGGAGGGGTGGTGTTCAGTGACTATGGAGTTTCATTTTTGCAAGATGAAAGAGTTCTGGAGATTGGTTGCAGGGCAATGTGAATGTACTTAACAGTACTGACCCGTGCATGTGAAAATGACTAAGATGGTAAGTTTTCTGTAGATTTTACCACAATTCAAAATAAAAATAGTAATAGTAAAATTCTGCGTCTCAACAGCCCCATCCAATAGAAACTGCCATTTTAAATCTCGTCGCTATGTTAGGTGGCCCCTAACAGAGCAGGCCTTTATTTAGTATTGGTTGAATTAGTTTGTAATTTAAAAATTAAAAACCTGTTTTGTCTCTATTCGGTTTTTGGTCATCTGTTCAGGCAGAATGACGGACACAAAAATGCCATGCCCGCCCTTGCCTTGAATCTCCAGTTCTCTCCGTGGCCACGTCCCAGGATCAAAGAATGTACAGTTTAATGTTGTGACCAGCACGTCCTTCCTGTGGTGTGTCCTTTCTTCACTTGACAGGCTTGCTTTTCAGCGTTTCCTGTAACCTGCCACTCTTCACTGTCACTTCCTTTTCCTTCGTGTTGCCAGAGCCTCGCTTCTCTGCCCACTCTTCTCTGGTTGGCTGTTCTGTTTCCTTCCGTGTCGTTGCTGTTAGCTGTTCCACGGTGATAAACCAGCCAGGACGCGCTGTTGGTTTCATTTTTCCTGGACTCCTTCCTTGTTCTGTAATCCTCCTCCATCATTCATATTTCTAGCCTAGCTCAGGAGTCGGCAAACTCCGGCCAGCGGGCTGCCTCGTCCTGTAAATAAAGTTTTATTGGAACGCGGCCCTGCCGTTTGTTTCCGTATTGTCCATGGCTGCTTCACGTTACAATGGCAGAGTTGAGGAGCTGTGACAGACACTATGGCTAAAATATTTACTATCTGGCCCTTTACAGGAAAATGTTGCCAGTATCTTGCCTAATAAATTCAGTTTCGAGTACAAAAGGTTAAATTTTGTATTTGAGCCTGGCACGTCTTGTGTAGGGTAGGAAGTGAATAATTGGCATGTGTTTCAAGCTGACGCTGGGGAAGTCAGCTTCGGGGGCGTTGCCCTTGCCCCTCCCTCTGCTGGGAGCCCTCTTCCCATCTCAGATGTTAGCTGTCCGCCCTGAACCCCTGGCCTGAAGCAGCCGACCGTCCAGGCCCCTGCAGCTGCCTTCACACCGCATCACCAGATGAGCCTACTTCTGCCTTTATTTGTCCACTGGTTTATTATCGCTCCTTCCCTTTTACGCTGTAAACTCCTTGAGGACAGGAATCACAGCTCTCCTCACCATCCAGGTGTGTGGCAGTAGATGGTGTTAAAATATCTGTCAAATGAAAGGAAGAAAAAAAGAGAGAGAAATGTGCCTGTCCGACTGCTCTGCTTTTCAATTTGTCCTTCTTGCAAAGATATGGACCATGCCTGCTTTCATCTGATTTCTCTTTATCTGACTTCGAAGGAAGTGGGGTCCCTGAGAAGAGAAGTGACTTCCCCGGGCTGTGGAGTTCTGGCTGAAGAAGTGGAATCCAGCTACAGAGCTTCTTTCCGGGTCCCTGTTCTTTCTGGAATTAAGAGCAGAAGATTTATACCCCGCTCTCCCCAATTCCTGACCCTCGGCTTCCCTGCAAAGCAGAGACGTCTTTCCTATCTGGCCACTTCACCAAGCCACCCACCATCGTCTGGAAATACATCACACAGCATCTGTGGTGCCATGTCTAGCAGTAGGAGGCAGCTGAGGGGGCAGGGTGAGAAGGCAAAGGCGAGAGATCTGCCTGGGGCCATGAGAGCAGGACACAGGGCCTCCTCTAGGGCTGCACGGCTCATAACTTCCTAGGGAAGTTTTCTGCCAGCAAAAGACAGAGTTCATTTCACAAGCGGCATAAATTACCCCTAACAGTCCATCCTTGCGGCTCATTTGCATGTGGTGGCAGATATGAATCATTACTCAGGGATTATGATCCTGAAGGGAACAGCTCACCCCCACGCTACCGAAACGGTGTGGGTGCCACCTTAGGAGGGAGCATTTGTGCCTGTCATACGCCAGGAGCTTCATGTCAGGCCTAGGGTGTTACGATGGTCAGTGGTGGCATGAAGGGGTAGCTCAGGGCTGTGGGAGGTGCCTTTGGTCCCTTCCCCATAATTTCAATGCCCCCAAAGCCAGCTCAGATAAACATCCAACATATGGGGGCCGGCCCCGTGGCCGAGCGGTTAAGTTCACACGCTCTACTTCCGTGGCCCAGGGTTTCGCTGATTCAAATCCTGGGTGTGGACATGGCACCTCTCAAGCCACACTGAGGCAGCGTCCCACATGCCACAACTAGAAGGACCCACAACTAAAAATGCACAGCTATGTACCGGGGGGCTTTGGGGAGAAAAAGGAAAAAGAAAATCTTAAAAAAAAATAACTATAAAAAAACCCAAAAACATCCCACATAAGTAAAGACAGTGAGTTTGCTAAGCGATGGCAGCTTCAAGACAAGCTCCCCAGCCCCACTTTCAACCCAATGGCCACAGGTCCCTTTTATATAGAAACTCTTTAACTGCTATTTATTGTGTCCACTTTACTGATGAGGAAACAGGCTCAGAGGGGCAAAGTAACGTGGTCTAGTCACAGCTGGTAAGTGGCAAAGTCAAGATTCACAGTAGAGGTTTTTCTAAGTCAGCTTCTCATTTCGTAATCCAATATAATTAAGAATAAATCCTCAGAAGAGACCTCAAATTCTTCTTGAAAATTAAGAGCTCCTCTTCTACATAACCCTTGAATCAGAGGAAAATCAAAACTGAAATGGCAAATTATCCAGATGAGAGAGTAATAAAAAGTAGATGCCATTCACACCAAAGCATAAGAGATGTAGCTAATGCTGCCTACAGAGGAAATTTATAGCCTCACAAACTTTTATTTAAAAAAATTGAATTGAAAACAAATGGATTTAAGTATTTTTAATATAAAATATAGTTTAAAAAAGAGTAGGAGTAAGAAATTAAAGGTAAACTCTGCAATTAATGAAATAAAAACAACAAATGAGTAGAAATGATACATTTTTTTAAAAAAGGATTCTTTGGGGGGAAAGCACTATAAAATAGAGAAGTCCTGGAAAATCTGAGTAAGGCAAAAGTAAAAAGAGCAAGATTAGGAATAAGTAAGGAGACAGAATCACAGAATCAGGAAATATTTATTGATTCATTCAAAAATAGGTCATACCTACAGGCTCCAGCCACTGCTTTAGCCACAGCTTTGGTCAGTCCTGGCTCTGCTCCCATGCCACCTGCAGCAGAAGTGAAGAGGCAGACAACATTCCGCCCCTCCTGGAGTTTATTCTAGTGGGAAGAGATGAGGGGCTGGCCCGGTGCTGCAGTGGTTAAGATCACACTTTCCGCTTCAGTGACCCGGGGTTCACCGGTTCAGGTCCCAGGTTCGGACATATGCACCACTTGTCAAGCCATGCTGTCACGGGCATCCCACATATAAAGTAGAGGAAGATGGGCACAGATGTTAGCTCAGGGCCAGTCTTCCTCAGCAAAAAAGAGGAGGATTGGCAGTGGATGTTAGCTCAGGGCTAATCTTCCTCAAAAAAAAAAAAAAAAGAGAGAGATAGGAAGTAAACAAATAAAGTCATAAGATAGTTTCAGATAGTGCGAAGTGATTTAAAAGAAAGGCGATGTCTGAGGGAGTTCCTGGGACGTGGGGCTGCTTAGGTTGGCTGGTCAAGGAAGACCCCTCTGAGGAGGGGCCATTTCAGATGAGACTTGAAGGATGTAGAATCAGCCATGGGAAGATCTGAGGGAAGGAGCGTTAGGCAGCAGGAACAGCAAGTGCAAAGGCACTGGGGTGGAACAGAGCTGCCTCATGAAAGAGAGAAGGCCGTGAGCTGGAACATGGTGACAGAGGGGGAGACAGGCCACAGGCAGAGGTGGGGCTCACTCACACAGGGCTTGTGGACCACGGTGAAGAACTGGGATTTTCTTCGGAGTGAACTGGGAGGCCATTAGAACTTTAAGCAGCAGAGTGAATGATCTGATTCATGCATTGGAAGAGCCCTCTGGCTTTAGGCTGCTGCTGATGAACTTGGTGAGTTGGTGAAGGTCAAGAGTGGAAGTGGAGACACGAATGAGGGGCCTGAGGCAGCTGTCCAGGTGACAGGTGGTGGGTTGGCTCCAGGTGGTGAAGGTGAAGAGAAGGGGACCATAGTGGACACCGTGGTCCCCCAGCTCGGGAGTGTGGGAGTCAGCCGCTCCAGGACTCGCCTTCAGCCTGAGACCACGCCCCTCCCCAGGGTACCCACATCCAACGTCTGGTTGATGTGGACATCTAAAGACCCTGTCCCCTTGTCCCAACGGAGGACAGCTCGGAAGGGCTGTCCCAGCTTTAGAGCTCTGCTGAGACCTCTCTTGCAACTGGATCACCGCTGGGCGTCTCCCTCTGCCGCATCCTGGCGCTCTCATTCCTCACGGGTGGGGTCCGCGAGAGCTCTCCCCAGAAGCCACCGGCACGCGAAGCTCTGTCTCTGGGTCTGTTTCCCAGGGAGCCCCGCCAAAGACGGGGACCAATTAGAAGAACCATAAAAATAGTGTAGGCTACTGTGTGGTGACAAGTCCATTCTCCAGAGATGACTCCAAGGGCCCTACCCCAGGTCACACAGCTGCGTCTCCTTCCTGACAGATCTGCTCCCACCCCACCTGCAAACCCAGAGCAGCAAGTCTGTAAGGGCCTGAGGGATGTGCAAAGGCAGGAAGGAAATCAGCAGGACCGGAAGTCGAGAACCTTCACTCCGGGTGCTGTGCGCCTTCGAGGCTTTGGTCGGAATGGCGTGGGACTGTGTTTTTAGGCCTCTGACACTGCACAGCGCTTGTAGTTGGAAGGTCTGGTCATTGTCATTCAAGTCATCCCGTCCTGAGCGTCGCTGCCAGCCTCATCTCTGCTAGGTCTCCAAGTTCCTAGTCATCACAAAGCCCCAGCTTTGCACACTTCCGAAACCCCGACCAGGAGCAGTGACCCAAAACAGTGAAACTGCCCACATTCTAAATTTGAAAAGTTGCACCCTCTGGGTCTGAGGCCTCCTGCTCCGGAGCCTTCTCACTTGCTGGCTTCGTGGTCACAGCAGGCGGCTTTCCCTCGCTCTCTCCCTCGCTCGTGTGTTTGTTCATTGGACCTCTCTGCTGCTGCTGGCCGGGGCTAAATGCTGAGATACTGAGATGAAGATGACAGAGACCCTGCTCTCAAATGGCTCACGGCCAGGTCGGGGAGGCAGACAGCTAACTGACCCACTTCCTAATGGTTCAGTCTGAACAGTTTTTTTATCTTCTGGGGGTACAGTGAGCATCCTATTTGGGACCAGTTCAGAAAGTTTTGACTGTCACAAAGAAGAGTTTGCTGCGATGGGCAGTGGGGAGCCAAGGAAGGCTCTTGAGTGGGAGAATGGCATGATTAAAGGTGAGATTTAGTTTCATTTATCTTGTTTATCCATCCATCCATCCATCTGTCCATCCATATATTCACCCATCCTTCCACCCATCTATATATTCACTCATCCTCTCCTCCATCCAACCAGCCAGCCAGCCAGCCAGCCCTCCATCCGTCCATATATTCACTCATCCATCCATCTATCCACCCCTCCATCCACCCAACCGACCACCCATCCATCCATAATTCATTCATCCACCCACCCATCCATCCATCCATCCATCCCTCCACCCATCCATCCATCCATCCATCCATCCCTCCACCCATCCATCCATCCATATATTCACTCATCCATCCATCCATCCATCCAGCAAATACTTATTGAACATTATCATGTGCTAGACACTGTGCTGTGCACCTGGCTTCTGTCTACAGCAGTGAAGAAGACAGACATAAATTCCTGCCTTCATGGGACCAACATTCTGGAGTGGAGGGGTGGATAGACAATAAACAAGCAAACAAATAAATCAATAAGTGAATTCCAGAGCTATGAAGGAAATAAAGAGAGAGACAGGGTTGAGAGCGACCAGGACACAGGGTGGGGCGCCTCCGATTGGATGGTCAGGGAAGAGACCTCTGGGGAGGTGATGATTCAACTGGGGTTTACAAGAAGAGAAAGAGGCAGTTATGACAAGAACAGGGGAAAGAGTTACAGGAAGCGGGAAGAGAAGTGCAAAGGCCCTGAGGCAGGAAAGAACTTGGCTTGTCAGAGAAAGTGAAAGGAAGCCAGTGTGGCTGAAAGGGAGAGAGGAGGCAAGACAGGGCCTCGGAGGCCGTGGTGAGAACTTTGGAGTTTTTGGAAGGGCAGCCGGAGGCCACTGGAGGGTTTCAGCAGGCGAGTGGCATGTTTTGATTTTCGTTTCTAGAAGTTCCCTCTAATCTGCTGTGAGGAGCAAACGTGGCAGCAGAGAGACCAGTGTGGAGGCTGTAGGTGAGGATGGCGGTGGAGCTGGACAGAAGCGGACGATTCAGGACAGACAGTGGAGGTGGCGGTGAGAGAAACGGAGGAATCAAGTGACCTTGGAGCTTGGGCTACTGGGGGGTGGCAGAGCAAAGACTGGAGGTTGGGGGTGGGGCTGGGGGGAGGAATGGGTGTTTGGGGGAATCAAGACGTCTTTTTAGGGTATTCCGGTGGCAGTTAGACAGCCCAGCCCAGAGCCCAGGGGCGATGGGGATGCTGATGGGAATGCGAAGTTCCTTGCGCACGTGGTTACTTAAAGCAGCGGAAGGAGTGAGGTCGCCAAGGACATGGCTGGGGGCGTGGCCAAAGATGGAGCTCGGGGAGAAGGTTGCTGAGAGGTGACCACAACTGGACTTGGCAGCGGGATTGTGACCTCAAGAGCCATTTGGTGGCACAGAGGGTGGCAGCCTGGTTGGAGGACACTGAGGAGGGGTGGCATGGGGTGAGAACTGGATCAGGGAGCATGGACGAGGCTCACCAGAAGCTCCCTCTGGCAGGGAACGGAGGAACGGGGCGCTTGTGGGAAGACGACGGGGTCCGGGGAGGGCATTTGATGTTTTCAACACAAGAGGTCCCGAGAGGGAGAAACTGGGGCTGCACCAAGGGGCAATTGCTGGGAGAATATCCCCGAGTGGCCCAGAGGGAGCACACGGCGCCAGGCCTGCTATTCCGTGGGCATCACCAATTGTGTCCGCTCTCTCCCCGTGTGACCTTGGGCAACTTAAGGACGCTCCGGGCCTCCATTTTTACGACTCCAAAATGGGCCACACAGGCCCCAGATGACTTGGGTGTTGAGGTGACAGGTCCCCGGGACAGAGCAGGCTCAGCAGGGAGGCAGTTGCGATGGCCGACGCTCCTCAGTTTGTGTTGTCCTGGACTGTCCCCGGGGAGGCCACCAGGTTCCACCAGGCCCACCCCGCTGCATTGTCCAACGCTGCCTTGCTCCAAGATTCACAACCAGGCCTGGCTGGCCCCTGGAGACTCCACCCAAAGTGTTGTACTTTTTGGGGGGGGGAATGAAAGTTTTCAAGTCTGAGGGGCTGCCAGGCCCCGTGGAAGAGGCTCTGGATGCGATCCCATATCTGCGCTTGCTGGCTCGGGGACTTTGAGCAGGGGTGTTTCCTCTCTAGGTCTTAGTTTTTTAATCTGCAAAATGGGCATCATCATCATCATCATCGTTGTTGTTATGAAGATTAAGTGACATGGTTCCTCCCACCCTTCCTTCGTCTTACAGAAGTCAGGTTCTGCCCCCGGAGTCCCCCTCTTCTTGGCTCATGTTATCTGGGTGGGGCCTGGGCCCCTGGGGTTCTGTTGAGGCAACCTTGGCGTCTGCCGCACCCACAGGAGTCTGGGCTTATGGCCCCCCCGGGGGCTCTCCACTGCCAGAGTTTATCTGTCCTGCCCTTCTGCCCTCCAGCCTGGACCCAGTATCAGCTGTCGGCCAGGAATCCACGCAGTACGAAGGGAGGGGCACTGCCGACATAGGGGTTGGGCCAGACAACAGGTGCAAGGTTGGCCCAGAGAGGGCGGTGGGGGGTTGTCCAAGGCCACAGAGCAAGTAAAGGGAGGAGGGCAGATCTGGTGGCAGCTTCCCCCCCCCCCGCCCCCGCCCTGTCTCCTATGGGGCATTCAGCCCAGGTGGCAGTGGCCGGCCGCCTGGGGAGCAGAAAGGGCCTGACTGTGCTTGGGAGGCCCTGGGGCAGATGCCGAGGACAGACGCTGTGAGGACACCTCCTGGAGGCAGCTCCAGGCTGCTAGAGGTTTCTCTGGGCCCAACCCGGTGGCTCAGGAGACCTCTGTGCTGGGTCCAGCAGGCCTCTTCCAGTCCCCCTCCAGCCCCGCAGGCCGCAGAGACAGACAGGCTGAGGTGGAGTCCTGGCTCTGCCTCCTAGGACCGAAGGAGGATCCTGAAAACTCTCGAGCCTCGGCTGCCTCGGCTTCCTCGTCTGTGAACTGGGGGTGATAATGGCAGTTAAGCCCTTTGGTTAGGAGGATGCAAACTACAAATAAGATGAAGCTTCTCCTCTGCTCACCCCCTCCGGAGCCCCACTGCCTTGGGGAGAAAGTCCTCTCCTCCTCTCACCAGACCTTGCGGGCCTGCGCCCCTTGCACCCCGTTTTCTCTCCCCGCCGCCACTCTGGCCTCCTCGACGCTCCTCCATCCCCCTGAGCTCAGTCCCACCTCAGGACATCGCCCTTCCCTCTGCATCCCCTCCGTGCTCCTGCAGCGCTCCCCGCCCAGCTGGTCCTCAGAGAGGCCCGGCCCCCGCCACCACTGCCTTGTTGGCCCCACGGCGCTGAACTCTGTCTGAAGGAGTTGTCTGTTCCTTCCCTGTTCCTCATCTGTCGCGGAAGCGTGGGCTCCACGAATGCCGATCTGGCAGGACCTGGCACCTGGGAGATGCGCCACGAACACTAGCTGCTGTAACTTTTCTAGAACTATTTCTAGATCGCTCAAGGCACCTAGTGCTGTGTGCATGGAGAAAGTCAAGGCCAGGGCCAGCTCTCAGGGGCTGGGTTCTCATTCGCCCTGTATGTCATTTATTCCTTCAGACCCACTTCCCCCAGCACCTGCTGCGTGGCGGCTCTGAGTGGGGGCCAGGGAGGAAGCTGTGAAGTGGGGATCCTGGCTGTGCCACCTCCATGGGAGGGACGGCTTGGTCCTCAATTCCCAACCCTCTGTGGCTCCCTATCACCCCAGGCCAGAGTCCAGGGCCCTATCTCAGCGTGCCATGCTCCCTTATCTGCGTCCAGCCGCGGTTCTAGAGGGACGTCTGCAGGAGCCCCCGCCTCCGCTCAGTGCTTTCCGTTCCCAGAGGCTCTGCTCTTGCTGCTCCCCCAGCCCGAGACACGCTTCCCCCCAACCTGCAGCCGAGCTGCGGACGTGTTCACGCAAACACGGGGCTCACGGCCCGTCCAGGCCCTGCTTGCACCTCTGTCCCCCCGCCAGCTCCCGCGAGCCTTGAGGCCTTCTTGGTTCTGTGTCATCAAATTGGGCCCCAGCCTGTCAGCCATTCTTTGCATGGACCTTCTCTTATCAGGACCTCACACCGACCCCGTGGCCCTTATCCGTGTTTCACAGAAGAAGGCACCAAGGCACAGAGAGGTTTAGTAACTTGCCCAAGGACACACGCCTAGAACATGGGACTTGAACCTGGCAGACTGACCCCAGGTGCATTCTTCATGTCCTTGCTCTGCTGTCTTAGCTATTTAGTGGGTCTTTCCAGAACCCCTGCCTGTGATCAGCCTGTAGGGAACATGCCCTCCCCCACCCCCACCTGCCCGCCTGAGGCTGCCCTCGGAAGCTCTGGACCATTCTGAATGCACAGTGCCAGGTCCCCATGCTGGGTGCTTCCGAGTTATGGCCCCGTGTAAGGCTCTCGTTAGCCCTGTCTTACAGATGGGGAAACTGAGGCATGGAATGGGGAGATCACACCTGCCCCAAGCTAGAAGGCGGGAGATCTGAGTCAAACCCAGGCTGTCTGAACCAGAAACCCAACCCATGCTCCCTGCTGGTCTTCATGCTTAGTACCCCATGGCTGGCCACCCCAGCTGACCACCCGCCATCGAGGGCCTCCTGGGTCACGCCTGCTTCTCGCTGTGCTCCACGTGGCTCCATGCCACCCCTGTAAGGCCGGTCTGTTTTTCGCCCCATTTTAGAGATGAGGGAACCGAAGCGACCAAGGTCACCCAGCTAGCGAGGGGTGGGGCTGGGTTTAGAACAGGGTCGTGGGAGCTCAAAGCTCTTCCGTGGCTGCCCCGCCTGTCCCAGTGACCAGGCCACCTGCGTTTCTCTCCCTGCCCCCCAATCCCACCCCAGGGAAACTTGAGTCTCCTGGGAATCTCCAGACCTTCGATTGTTCCCAGCCAGAGCTTCCTGGGAGCGGACAAGAGGGAGCCGCCTGCTTGGGCTGCCCTTCCCGTTCCGCTGTCAATGGGCCTTTGTGTGGCTAGGTCTAGCCCAGCCCCTGTCCACACCACATGGCTTCCTGACAATTCAAGGCTCTCAGCCAGGAGCTGTGTGTGGCCTGGGAACCCACCACCCAAAGTAGCAGAGTGCCCAGACAGGCCTGCTCTGTGGTTAAGCAGCCCCCGGACCTTTGCACTTGCTATTCCCTCTGCCAGGAAGGATCTTTCCTCAATTTTTCCCACAACCAGTTTCTTCTCGTCCTTCAAGTCACCACTCAGATGTCACCACTTCAAAGAGGCCTTTCCTGACCATCTGGCTCACTAGAATATGAGTGCCAAGAGGGCAGGAGTTTGTCTGTTGTGTGGCAGAGACCAACAATAAGAAGTTGACACTTCAACAAGATCCTTTCTGCTAGGGATACGTGCTATCAGAAGAATCAGGTAATTGGATAGAGTGCCTGGAACAGGGGGCCTCTCCCAGGCAGTGAGATTTGAGCAGAGACCTGGATGAAAGGGAAGAGCCATGCCAATATCTGGGGGAAGAGAGTTCTAGACAGAGGGAACAGCAAGTGCAAAGGTCCTGAGGCAAGAATATGCCCATGTGTGTGAGGAGTCTCAGTCTTGAGGAGGCCAATGTGTCTGGCACAGAGTGATTGAAAGAAGAGTAGGGGGAGATGAGGTCAGGGAGATGAGATGGGGTGGTGTCTATCACATAGGACTTTACAGGCCGTGAACTTTGGCTTTTACTCTGAGTGAGGAGAGTTCCAAGGGACGTGATCTGACGTGGGTTTCCACAGGGTCCCTCAGGCTGCCTTGTGGAGAACGGACTATCTGGGGGCAAAAATGGAAGAAGGGAATTTATTCACCCACCCAAACGGAGCCCCTACCTTGTGCCAGGCATCGTCCCGACACTGGAGATAGAGCAGCGAACAACTGTGACAAAAAACCTCTGTCCTCAGGGAGCTCACGTTCTTGCGTTGGGAGCCTGGGGATAAACTGGAGAAGTGAGCAAAGCCCTTGGTGTGCCAGGTGAGGGTGTGGAGGAAACCTAACAGGGGAGCATCCGGGAGCGGGGGCTCATGTCCGCACCAGCAGGTGCAGTATTCACGTTGCGGATGCCGTGTGTCCAAGCCTGTGAGCTCCTGCAGGGGACCGTGGCCTTGCCATGGCTGGATCCCAGATCCCAGCATGGGGCTTGCCTCCAAAATGGACCCTACCTCATTCTACATGTGGGGAAACCGGGGCTAAGAGACTACTCTGACTTGCCCGAGGTCACACAGCTAAATGTGTGAATGGCAAAACCTGGACTGACCCAGGGCTCCTCTCCCCGGTGGGGTGGATGAACTTGGCCCTTGGTGCCCCACCGTCCTGAAGGGGCCAGCTCTGTCTGGGTGGGATCCCTGCTGGAGGTAGGTCCCCTGGGCCGTGGGCCCCAGCGGAGCCAGGCTCAGGCACACAGTAGGCGCTCAGTAAACGCACGCCGTTGAGCAGGCACCAAGGCAGCGGTTCTCGCTGCTCCCGGGCGACTTTCCCCTGCCGGGGGATGAGCGGCAGTGTCTGCAGACGGTTTGGGCAGTGACATTGGGGAGGGGGGACGCGCTGCTGACCTCGAGCGAGGGGAGGCCAGAGATGCTGCCGCGCGCCCTACAACGCACAGGACGGCTGAGACCCGCCCGGTCCCCGGTCCCCCGCCGGCCTCGGACCCGCCCGCTGTGCGCTGGCACCGCCCGGTGGCGTCACGAGGCGCGGCAGCATCCCCGGGAGGAGCCGGGCCCCGAGCGGTCCTCCAGCGTCCGGATGACACCTGCCACCGCGGCTCGCCCACGGCTCCAGTGGGCGCGTGTGGACCTGCGGCCTCCAGCTCAAGGGCGGCTCCCCCTCCCCAGATGCTCTGGGAGTCCCCCGACCCCTCGCTGGCTGTCACCCCCGTCCCTCCCGTGCTCAGAACCCTCCGTGGCTCCCACGTTATCCACCGGGAAAGTCGAAAGCCCTAAATGGCCCCCGCCCCACTGTTTAAAACCGAAACACACTCAGCTCTCCTCCTCCGTCTGCGCTCTGTTTTTTATATTCAGCAACAATCACCAAGGGACGTATATTTCGCTTATTTTTCTTGTTTATTGCCCATCTCCGCCACGTGAACAGCTCCCTGGGGCCTGGACCCTGCTCTTTCCCCAGCATCCAGCACAGTGCCCGACACACAGTCGGTGCTCCACAAGTATTTGTGGATTAAAATGGATGGATCGATCTGCACAACCTCCCCGGCCTCACACTAGAACTCTGCGGGTTCTAGTCCCACCTCCACGAGCAAGGCTGTGCCTCATAGGACAGGCTAGTTAACCTCTCTGGGCCTCAGCTTCCTAAGAGGAATAAAAGTGCCCACCTCATTGCGTTCTGAGGGCTTTAGATGTGTCACTCCACACGTGTTTAGACCCGTCAGTGGCGCCCAGTGGGTGCTCAGTGCGGACAGGGCCACACTTCAGTCACCATTCCCAGCCTTCTTCTCCTCCTCCTGCCCTCTCCACTCGCCGAGCCCCTCAGGGGAGGGCGCGGGGCTCGGTCTTCTTCATCCTTCGCACACAGTGGGTGCTCAGTACATGCTGGTGTTGGGGGAAGGACATGGGTAGACCTTGTCCCCGGGCACCGTGAGGCACGCTCTCCTACCCCAGTTTCCGGGGAGAACCCGAGGGTCCCACGGCCAGCGGCAGGACGTGTCCCTCGGAGCAGGTCGGGTGCCCTCCCCCCGTCCCCCGGGGGTGAGGGTCGGGGACGCGCTGGGCGCAGGGAAGCGCTGTCATTCTGCAGAGTGGCCAGCAGGGGGCAGCGGAGCCCGGGCCGACGCCGGCCCTCGGTCCTCCCGCGCCCGGAGG